GTGTGTGTGTGTGTGTGTGTTTATGTATGTATATGCATACCTGTATATGTGTGTGTGTTTGGATATATTGTCCCTACTTTTACTTTATTTACAAGGGGAACGTTAGATGACTTTTCCTATATTTTTTATACATACATATTGTCGGGCTGCTGGATTATGGGAGAGAATCCTAATCACAATTATTTCACTTGATATTGTAATCAGTATCATTCAACATGAACTCTAGAAATATGATTAAAAAAAGGACTGTATAAAATGATAAGCAAGAAAATAATAAAATCAACAGTATAGCCCACTTCATAGCTCTTCTGTTGCGCTGTGGAGCCCCATGAAATCTATTATTGTTTACAAATTCAGTATTGTTGTATATTTTTTGACAACTATCTATATATATATATATATTTTTTTTTTTTTGCCACAAGTGTGGATTATTATCAAGTGAATTAATAAAAACTAATTAATAAGAACTAATTAATAAGAACACAATAAATTATTGGGAAAACATCCCAAAATGTCATGAATATTGGCAAAAAAAATGGCTGGAATTTGTTGTTTTTTCCTCTTTGTTTGTTTTTCTCAGTTTGTCTCATATCTGCTGCTCTGTTGACAAAGGTGATTTTTTTAAATTGAATTTTCCACTCAACGGTTTTCAACTACTTGAACATGTTAACAGGCTTTTGCTGAGGGTATCCTTGTGTTCTAGCAAAACTTCACCTGAAACAAGTGTAGCTTGATTTTTATTTTTATAAAATGCATAACTTATTCTGCACATACAGCTGCAAAGTCCTAAATAAAGCCACGTCTCACTTCTCTGTGTGATCGAGTTTGCTCTAAGGAATGGATTAATGTTAGTTCGCTTTCTCTCTGTTTTGATAAAGGGGAGGAAGTGGGCCACATTTGGAAATAAATACTAATTAGGAGCTTGATTCAAAGCAGAATGTGTCAAAATATTTTTAGTAATAATTTTGTGTGGCTATATTGTTTTAGTGATTGTCTGGAGCAAAAATCGAGATTGCAAATCAAAATTTTATTAATGGTGCAGCCTAATGCATAATTAGGTGATTGATGAATGTTTGTATTTGCTTTTTGTGTTTTCATATACTTAAAGGGTCCTGATGTTTTCTTTTTCCTCTAACTAGCTAACCTCACAGGTCACACTGAAAGAGTTGGCATGGAGAACTTTGAGTTGCTGAAGGTTTTGGGCACTGGAGGTAAGCATCTACATGAATCCAGACCACCATGTAGAAAAAGAAAAGTTCATTTTCTGTCAGCTGAGGTTTTCTATATTAAGGCATAATATAACAAATATAATCCATGTCTTGTAAGTAAGTAAATGCAGCCTCTAAAGAACATTGATTGCAGCCCGTTAACATGGTGTCACAGAAACCAAGCCAAACGTATTGAGGCTTTTTATGTAGGATTTAGGAGGGTTGGTATCAGTCAGGTACTAATATTCAAATACATCACTTAACTAATAACCAATAACTTTATTCAATATTTTGACAAAAGAAAAGTGCAACAAGGAAAAAACTTGTGTTGCTTGTTTGAAAGGAATGCAGCAAGAATCCTCTTTTTTTCCTTTTTGTCTAGAAGAATGTTCTTTTAACAAATGAGACCCGGTGGCAATGTTTGGCCAAAATCTGTTGTAACCAAACCAGTTCCATCAGAACAAACATCTCATACCACCTGCTGGTTGTGGGCTGATGATTTGGGCATCTTACAGTCAGCTGTGAATGCCTCTGTTTGCCAAAGTATTCTGGAGTCAGAGGACATCTGTGCAACAGCTGGCTCAAAATGGGTCAAGCAACAGGACAACGACCCCAAACATGACAGTAAATCTACAAAAGAACGAGGAAGAGGAAAAAGAATCGAGGTGTTGCAGTGGTCCTGTCAAAGTCCAGGTCTAAACCTGATTGGGGGGACTTTAACTGACTGAGCAGTACAAAAATAAACCTCTCCCTTCATCCTCTGTGAACTGCAGGATCCTGCAGCAAACCTAATAATTTCCACAAAAGCAGCAAGGAAGCACTCACTGTTAAACCTAGTTGTTTTTCTGAGGTTGTATATTTCTGTTGAAGATTTTTTGTTATCATCAAAGTCCATGCTCAATAATCCAGGTATGCAATCCAACATTTTTCAGTCAGGTCATGTTGTGTGTTTCTTTGACTGATGAAGCCTTCCGGATCGAAGGCGAAACGTTTCAGCACAAAAAAAGAAACTGCCCAGATGACCTGACTGAAAAATGTTGGATTTTTTTGTTATATTTCATGTAGAACCGTAGATTTGAAAGACTTTTTGTGTTGACTGAATTTTAAGTTCGTGCAAAAAAATCTGATCAACTCTTTGAACAAGATGTTATTACAAATGCAACAAATGCAGTTTCTTTTTCCAAATGGTACAATTCTCAGTTATAGATCACTTCAATGGGTGGTTGATTAATAAATACATTGTGGCGTCGTTGGTTTAAGTAGATGAGCAGTAATTCAGTTCTAAATTGTTTTCTTGCATTCAAGTAATAATCAAGATACTGATTAGAGTCCAAGTTGCTTCTAACTATGGCGGCTTTGCCTCCATTGGTGTCTGTGTATGTGGATTCTAAACACATTTTTAAATGCTTTTTAAACCTTGCTGTGGATACAAGGCGCTATGAAGGATCAGATTTTTAAATATTCACCAGTATACTTGTTTCCTTCCAGCTGAAAATTTAATAAATCTGTATAATATGTTTGTTTTTTGTCTAGCTTATGGAAAGGTGTTTTTGGTCCGGAAGAACAGCGGTCATGATGCGGGACAGCTTTATGCCATGAAGGTACACATGATTCACTTCATGTGATCACAACATTTAAATAATTACACTCTTCTCACATTCAGCACACATTTGTAAGTTTTCTCTTTAATTAAAGGAAGGTTTGACTGAGCTAATATGAAATGAATGCACAATATTATCAGCATGGTATCAGTACTGCTGATATTAGCGATAAAGTTAAATATCGGACATTCCATCAGAATCACTCACCGATACAAAAGGTGCTGTTTTAGTATGACAACCCAGTGACAAGGAGGCCTGCAGCGCCAAAAATCCAATATTGTGCGTCCCTAAAAAGTATAATTGTTTAGTCTTTTAAAAGTGGTTGTTTTGTCGACGTCCTGAGGTCGGGTTTTCATTACCTCTGCAGGTATTAAAGAAAGCAGCCATCATTCAGAAAGCAAAGACGACAGAACACACTCGCACCGAGAGGCAGGTGTTGGAGCACATTCGCCAGTCTCCCTTCCTGGTCACGCTTCACTACGCCTTCCAAACTCAGAGCAAGCTGCATCTCATCCTGGGTGAGACTTGAGAAGAATCATGAAGAACTCCCAAGCTGTCCGTCTTGAAACGCTGAATAGATTTCTGCTTTATGTTTCTGTTTTTACGCTTCATGTCTTGTTGGCATATCGTGCATGACATGTTTGTGTTACTTTTGTCATACGTCGTTTCAAGCCCCCTCTGTGTTTGTCTGTGTGTGAGTACAGACTATGTGAGTGGTGGCGAGATGTTTACTCATTTGTACCAGCGGGATCACTTTTCTGAGGAGGCGGTTCGGATCTATATCGGGGAGATAATTCTTGCTCTGGAGCACCTGCACAAGGTGAGTCTTTCTCTTGAACAGCCTAAAAACTTTGTTTCTGTTATCAGATTTTTAACTCCCAACAGGTGGAGAATCTTTAATCCACTTTATTCACTTTTCTCCTTAAGCTCTGATTTTGTTCAGCAGTGATGATTTCATTACACTTTGGATTTATTCTGAACCTCTTCCACTTGTAGAAATAAGATTTTTAGTTCACATGGCTGTCATCAATACAACATGGTTTTTAAAACAGGAAGTTCTCTTTTTTTTTCTTTTTTGTTAAAAAGCTCCAAGAAGTGGTTACCTAATAACGTTATACAACCGCTGTAGTTGGAAATGTTACTGAAACCTTAAAAAAGCAGTGGCGCTCTTCACTTCTCCTTTTTTTTCTTTTATGTGCTTAAACAACTTTACAGAAGAACGATATGTGGAGTGTGAGGCGAGCGTTGTTTTTAAAAGATACAGAGCTCTTTTTGAGTTTTCAACCAATTTCTACCCCAAACACACGATAAGTGAAAAAACGTGACGTAGCCACACTATATTTATTTTAGTATTTGTATATTTTTTAAGGCTTTAGAAACCCCCCCCCCCCACACTCTTGCAATGTTCTAAACTCTTAAACCTACATCATTATAACAACATACATATATGTACTGTATATGTAGCTACTAAATTTTATTCACCAGCTCTGCAGAACAGCAGCGGCTCTCTGGTCCGGTCGACTCGGTTCATTTCTGGAGATCTAGCCTGCAGCGACGAAGCCCACAATCAATCTTTTAAACTCTTAAATCTACTAATTTTAACAACATACTTATATGTAGAACAGAATTTTACTTACAAGGGTGTTTCCGGAGCTCTTGGGTTCACCACTGAGTCTGGGGGTCCGGTTCTGCTCCATGGGCTACAAAAACGGCTCCCGACCTTCGGCACGCGTCCGTGCTTAGAAGTCCATGTGGGCTAGCTACCAGCTCAAGATTTACTGATGGGTCTGGAGGTCTGGTTCTGCTCCGGTTCTGGTCCGGTTTAGTGGGTTCAGTGCGACTTCTCTGCATCTGCTGGGTGCTGATCAGATAAAAACTTTACCAATGTTTTTTTCAGCAGAAGCAAACGGGGTTTCTGGGCAGAGCCCTGTTGCCTTTTGGGAAATGTAGTCATTATGATACAGTGAAGGCTAACTGAGAGAAAACTACAAAATGGTGACGCCTGTCTGAAGTATTTCATTTTTTCCTTAACTTTTTACTGTACAGTACTGTATCCAGTACTATCCAAATCACGTGAGTAATATTAAAGTTGACAATACAGATGGCTGAGTGGGTAGAGCAGTCGTCCTCCAATGCGAGAGTTGGGGGTTCGAATCCACCAGGAGTCACATGCCGAAGTGTCCCTGGGCAAGACACTGAACCCCTCATAGCCTCTGATGTGTGTCCCATTGGTGAATGAATGTGATCTTAAACTCTGATTAGTCTCTTTAGCATGATTTGTTCAATTAGCTTTGTAGAGATCTAGTAGAGTGCTGTATGAATGGGTAAATGAGGACACA